ACCACCACTAAACCATGCTGGCTTGTGCACAGAGGCCATTGGATGTCTCCCATGTGGTGGGAGACATCCAATGTCTCATATGTGGCTCATATGTGGGCTTCTATAACTTCTGAAGCCTCCAGATTTCTATCTGCTAATTTTATACTTTTTCCTAACCATTCTAGACCTCGGCTAATGTGTTTTGTAATCAATCAATTCCTGCCTGTGACAGTCCTTTCTCAAATACCTGTTCAAACAGTAATTTAGATAAAAGTGTCCATTTGTATGCAACAGGAAATGCCTGTCTCATTTCAGATACTCTTGCAAATAATTGCTGTAGATATCGCCTAAACAGAACAGAAATGTTGGAAGGACTCTGGGTCTCTTTAGAGTCCATATCCTAACAGTGACATCTAAAAATATCCTTCCATGTCACATGGGACTTTCCTCAAGTCCTTCCTGGTTTTCCTCAAGGAGATGAATGATCCAAAAATGTCCCAAGAAGGCCTTTATAAAGTGAGTCCATGCTAAAGACGATAATGCATATTGTTCAAAAGTAGAAGCAGAGCTCCAAAATTGTGATGTGTAACTGGTTTCTTCTTTTCTAGCAGCCTGTTGATAGCTGCCCAACTTGGCAAGGGATGGTGGTAGTTATAATTGTGAAGTTCCTAAAGGAAGTGTTAGCCAAGCATGAGCCAAACTCTATCTGCTCAGCTGGGAGGGGCTGCTTCCAGGCTTATCTCTGACTTTATTTTCTCCTTACCTTTGGAAATTATGGATTTAGAAACACCTCTGAAGTAGGCTCTCCAAATGTTTTGGCTACCAGTTTAGGTAAATATCCTTCACCCCTAATAACCAACAGTCCAAGTTCTGATTAAGTCATTGGTGACCACATGCATGCCTCCAATTACAGATTATCGGAATTATGTGCAGAAAATGTGGAGGTATGTATGTATGCAGTCCTGGGCGGAAAGTGGATAGAAAAAAAGGAGTTATGCAGACTGAGAAAAAGAGAAAGAAAACAAGCAATACTGCAGTGATTATTGAAAATATATTTATATGAGTCTGCATTATTTAGAGATGAGTTTTAGATCTGGATTCAGATGTCAATTGTTTCAGTTTGTACCCAGATTTTTGGTTTTACCATCTCGAGTGTTAATACACTGAATATGCCAGTAGGCTCTTTATTACCTGCATGTATTCAGGTGGCATTCAAGCCATTCAAAGCTTAGTGTCCTTGCATTGCACTTTTGGTCACCCCCTTATTTTACTTTATGCGCCCCAGATACCCCATGTATCTGATTTATCAGCTACTTCAGCTGATGATATAAGCAACTCTGGCTGTATGAGCTCCCCCGTCTTCCTCACACGCTACATCTCACAAATATATTGCTCTTGGAAAGGAAGAGCATGCTGAACTGCTAAGCATTTGTCCAAGTGGAAGGAAGTCAGCCCTTCCTCCCTGCTCCACACAGGAGCTCTTTAAAGTGACCCTAGGGCCTGAAGTCCTGAGGGCTGTGGCATTAGCTTTGGCACTTGGGTCCTCTCCTTTCCTCATCAGCCACCTCCCCAGCATGCAGCCACGTGCACTCTTTCCTGCTGGCCTGCAAAGTGGTGCAGAACGTGCAAACACAGGTGTCCACTCTGGTCTTTTAGTAGCAATTAACCTTTCCTACTGGGCTTCCTTTCAAGGTTACTTTCAAGGTCGTTTATTGCAAAGCAGCAGTAAAGAATTTTATGGAGGGAAATGTCTAAATTTCCGTGCTACCTAATTTAGACTATTCCCTCAGTTATTTCATCTTATTTCCAATGGGAATAATCATTAAATCATAAGGAAGCCTGCTTTAATTTAAAAATGACAGCACTACGTGTGTAAGTGAGTCACTGCTTTTGTAGGTAATTGTGCTCAGAAGCGTACTCTCTAGGGTCTGATTTTTGTCTTACCAGGCTTATATCACAAGGGCCAATGTTTGTATTACATCACCAAAGGATTTGTCTAAATCTAAAATTTGCTTGGGCTGGCATTGCTGTTACCTGAAGAGGTCACGGTGTTAGACATGACGATGGAAGGGCATAGATGGATCTCTCCCACTGTCATGGTTTCGTTGCCAATTTACAAGGGCTGAGGATCCTTAAACATAGAAGGCAGATCCTCAGCTAGTGTGGATCAGTTCAAATGGAGGCACGAATGATTTAGCTCTTTCAGACTGAAAGAGACTAATTTAACTAGAATGCTGTGGGCAACCTCTGGAGGTCAGATGTTCGACCATTTGCAGTGCAAAGTGGAGGCTCAGTCATGGAATATTATGGGGCATGACTGTTAAAGAGCAATGCTGAACTGCTCATAGGGTTGCTAGGCATGGTATGTAATAGTGGCACCAATGTTGGGAAGGATGGATTGTTTTTCACAACTTGCTAGATCAAGCCATCTCTAGCGATCTCCATATAGCCTGAGGTATTAGATTAACAATGAACTAGTTGATATTGAGGTGCACCTCTTTAAAGCTTAGAGAAAGTTTGTCTAACCAATAGGTAGGGGAATGGATAGATGAACTACTTTTGGACATGTAAGAAATCACTAAATAGGAGAAGGAAAAACAATCCTTGATGGTCATTGAGCATTTTGCTCACTGATATTGAAGTGAATTGGGTAAACTGCTTCCTTCTGTGATGGAAAAAAAGGGATTTAGGAACCCTGAAACTGGTGTAGGAGAGAGCAGAGTGAATTGGTTTGAGGCAGGTGGGTGAAGGGAGGGAATGCAATATTTAACTGTTGAGCAACAAATAAACTCGTGGGCTAGTATTATCAAGGAGCCCGATGGCCTTAGGCACCCAGATCTCATGGAAATCCAGTGGGATTTGGTTATCCCCACCCCTCAAGTGTTTTTT